TGATTTTGCACATGCGGGTCTGAGGTTATTTCACTCAAGTGTATGGTCTCAGTATATTCTTTTACTGATAAAAGCCTCAAATTTATCCTTTGTTGTAGCTGAATAATACTCTGTTGTGTAAAAATACCATATCTTCTTTATCCATTCCTTGCTTGATGGGCATTTGTGTTACTTCCAAGATTTAGATATAACACATTGAGTTGCTATAAACATGGGTGCACATAAATCACTGTGGTATGATGTTTTTAGTTCTTCTGGAAAAATAACCAGGAGGGGAATAGGTGGCTTGAGTGGGACTTCCAATACTAGCTTTTTGAAGAGTCTCCACTCTGATTTCCATAATGATTTTCACCATTTTGCACTCCCACCAACAGTGGAGAAGTGTTCATTTTTCCCAACAGCCCCTCCAGAACCTATTATTGGTTGACTTCTTGATGACAGCCATTCTGTCTGGGGTGAGATGGAATCTCAGTGTTGTTTTAATTTCCTTTTTTTCAAATGAACAATAATGTTGAACATTTTTTTCATATATTTACTTTCCATTTGTATTTTCTCATCTGAGAAGTACATAATGCATCTCAGAGGCCCACTTTTTTATTGGGTCTTTGAATATTGGGGCCCTGACACTTCAAAAATTTTTATATGTTCTAGATAGAAGTCCTTTGTCAGACGGACAGTAGCTATAATTTTTTCCCAGTTTCTGGGTTTTCCTTTTAATCTGTTGGTGATTTCTTTTCAAGTGCAGAAACTTCCGGTATGTTACTAAATTTGGTTATTAAATCTACAAGTCTTGGAGGGCTTTCAGGTTAGCTCAGTTGTTTAAGTGCCTGCAAACTCAGTAAGGTAAGGTGCAGGGCCCACGTTTTTTTTTTTCCCCCCCATAATTTTATTGAGAAACAAATAGCAATGAGACAGTTTCAATCCAAATTGGTAGGACAATCCCAATAATTAACACATGGCATACTCTCTTCCTAGTGGTCATTTGCTGTACGAGATCAGGCACGATATCCTATTTACAAATACTATTAGAACAAATCCCTCTATTCATTAAGAGAAAGTAACTATATATCTATCCTAACCATTTTGAATACACAGATACAAAACGAACATTCATCTGTATCCTCTTTTTTGTTTAGTTTTGTCATTTGAATATTATAGGTGTGTTAACTCAGCAAAATATTCTAAAAGAGTCCAGTAGTTCATAATAGTATTGTGTCTTCCGCTTGACTGGCAGTGTCAGAAATTGTTGACAAGTGTCCCCTACAGCTGAACATAACACCATAGCTTTACTTCTTATACTTCATTTTTATACTTTTCTGCTGGATGGGTAAGACCAAGATAAAGCAAGACCTATGCAACAAGAGTTGTAGCTATTGGATCTGATAAGGTCAGTGAAATCCCCTCAGGATTTTTCCTGAGACCCTGTACCTCAGATTGTAGATCCTTTGTCAGTGTCAGCCATGTGGATGAATCACGGCCATTGCTTGAGGGCCCACGGTTTGATCCCCAGCTCCCCATGCCTCATGAGACCCACCCTTAAGGCAACCTGAGCCAGCCCCTGCCCCCCCAAAAATCTACAAATCTTTTGCTAGAGTTTTTGGGGTCTTTTATGTAGAGTATCATATAATCTACAAATAATAATTTCACTTCTTTTTCCATCCTTATTCTTTTTATTTCTCTCTCTTGTCTAATTGCTCTGGATAATATTTCCAGAACTATATTGAATAGTAGTGGAGATAGTGAACATCCTTGTGTTGTTTCTGCTTTTAAAATGAAGGCTTTCAGCTTTTGTCCATTTAGTATGATGTTGGCTACTGGCTTTTCATAGATGGCTTTTATCAGGGTGAGATATAGGCCATCTATTCCAATTTCCTATAGAGTTTTTATCATGAAGAAGTGTTGGACTTTGTCAAAAAGCTTTTTGTGCATCTATTGAGATGATCATGTGGTTTTTATCTTTGCCTGTATTGTATATGTTGAACCATCCCTGTATTCCTGGGATAAAGAAGGTCACTATGTCCTTTTTAGGGGAAAACTGCAAGAAGAACAGATAACAATTATAAATATATATGCACCCAAACACGAGAAAAGAATCTGACATATAAATTTTCTGCTACTATTTCTGCAAATAGTCTTTTTATGTCATTTGTGCTGACTCCTGCTGGTTTTTGTTACCTATTAGTCTTATTTTGTTTTTATTATAGCTGCTGAATTGTTATTTCCTGGTTCCTTACTAGTTTTAAGAGATCTTTCCTTTCATGTTCATTAGCTGCACCACTGTCTTTGTGGCCTAAAAGTCTATCTTGTTTTGTTCAAGCAGTTTTGCCAGCTTTCAATAGAATTTTAATTTCTTTGATATTTGTTTGAATCTGTTTGGTGCATTCTAATTCTTTCATTTATTGTTTGTTCAGTATTTCCATCATTTTTCTATTCACCTTTCTAAAAATCTATGTCTTCTTCAGCTGTGCTGAGAAATTCTTTCATGATTGTTGTCATTTTTTTCTTACCTGAGAGATTATTTATGATCATATTTCTTCTATAGCCTAATGGAGTTGTTTCTTTACTTCAGTTGCTATCATTTCAGAAATTTCAGGTGTGTGACTTCCACTTTTTTCTATGTCCTTGTCTCTTGGACTTGTTCTGGGTAGGCCAGAGGATTGCAGTTGCCTTTTACTCCTTCATTTTGGCAGTTTTGAAGCTTCCAATGAACACCCGAATTCACAAGTGGTTGGATTGAGGTGGGGCTATAGTGAGGGGGTAGGGTAGGGCTCAACAAGACTCTTTTTTAATTAATTTTATTGAGAAACAGATAGCAATGAGACAGTTTCAAAAGTGATTAGTAGGACAGTTTCAAAAATTAATACATTGCATATTGTTATCTTCTTAGTGGTTATTCATAGCACAAGATGCAGACATGATATCCTGTCCAAATACTATTAGTACAAATCTTTCTTCTCATTGAATTAAGAGAAAGTAGCTGTATATCTATCCTATTTTGTATATACAAATACAAAGTGGTCCTTCCTTTGTATCTCCCTTCTTTGTTTAGTTTTGTTAGAGATAGGTATTTCATTGCCACTTAAATATTGTAGGTGTGTGAATTCAGCAAAATAATCCAATATAGTCCGGTAGTCCATAATAGTAGTGGGTTATCCGTAGGACTGACAATGTCAGAAGTTGTTGACTTGAGCCTTTCACAGCTCAGCATATTAATATGGCTTTACTTTTTTTTT